AGGATCCTAGTTTAATTAAAGTAGGGATTAATATTTCCTACCTAGTTGAAATAAGGAAGGACTTATTTAAGTAAAATTTATATAAGGAAAAGATTAAATTCCTAAATATTATGGACTTTTATATAAATAACTATTCCTAAATTTAGAAAAATAATAAATGACTATTTTATCCATTTTAAAAAAGATAAAAAAAGGGGAACAATATTTTACTAAGGGTATTCGTACTTTTATTATAGTACTAAACTTAGGATACGCGCGTTGCGCATGTACCTCGTCTCAATGTGTACAAAGTTTTAGCAAAAACATTAAAATGTGTTAATTTTTAAAAAAGTGTAAGGTATCAAAGATTACGACTACTGATCCTATTTAGCTAACTTAATAAAGGAAGCCCCATAAAAGTTCGTAAAAATTTCACGGGGCGCCCTATTTGGTTGCCCCCATTTAACCTATACCCATTTTTTAAAAAAACTTTTAACTTGTACCCACTTTTTAAATAACTTCAGCCCCTTTCTCCTCCTCCTTCCCCTTTCTCCCCCTCCTTCTAATACCAGTATTGCTGTTGTTGATTTAATTTATTCAACTCGTCGCGATGTTTTCTCATATATCCACCTAAAGCTTGGCCGACAGCAAACTCTTCACCACAAAACGAACATTCATGTTTCTTAGGTTTAACAGTAGGTAACTCATTAGGAAAAGTAGTCATCAACATGAGTTTAATAGCTGTATTTTTATGACTTGCTCTGTATCCACCCAGTGCTTGAAACGAATTAAATTGTTTTTTGCATGTTTTGTACTCAAAGATTTTACTACGTCCGCTTTTAGCTTGCATTTTTTTTTGGATGGAGTTTAAAATAACAAAACGAAAGACAAATAAGCAGAAGCTGAAGAAGAAAGAAAAGGACTCGAACACACAAGCACTAGAAAGAAAAGAGAACTAAATAACTTCAGCTCTAGAGCTGAAGTTTTCCAGTTATAACACAAAAACTTCAAGTTTCCCAGTTACAACACAAAAACTTCAGCTCTAGAGCTGAGCTTCAGGTCCGACTACTAGAATGCTGAAGTTTTGCGTGATTGTCTTTGCTACTTCAGCCCCGTGTGCTGAAGTTACGCGAAAAAGCAGGTACGCTTGCAATTTTTTTTTGCAAAGCTGACACAAGTTAAAATGTGATACAAAAAGCGGGTATAGATGCAAATGCCCCTAAAAGTCCTCAGTCAATCTATTTAATTTAAAATTATTTCAGTTTTATAATTGCATTAGTTCAACTTCAGAAGTAATCATGTGTAAGAACGCATAACCCTTAAATATTTAAGAGCTTTTATGATATTATGTTTTTTTTGGGAAAACACATATTCTCAAGGAAATACTCACATCACGTTAGAGTTTATGGTCACAGTTATTCTAAAATGCATAAACACTTAAACAATGTTAGTTAATAACCAAAGCAGTCTTTTTTTTTTTGTGAGCAAGATGCACATTACTCGAATTTCTTTAATCAATAAAAAATACTTTAGGAATTGTTTCCAGCAAATTAGTTAAGAAAAGCTTTCTATCGCAAAAGTAGAATCCCATTATGATAATTATACGTATGAATTTTAATTTACTTAACACTGAAAACAAAGTTCTTATTAGTATAAGCAAGCTCATAATTTGGCACTTGGCAGAAATAAATTTTCTCCATTAATTAGAGATACTGGAAAAATAGAATGATAATATCTAGAAAAATAACATAAAAATAACTTAGTGCAGAATTTTACCTGAAGAAACGTCACAACAACAAAAGAATATAGAAGTTTTGAGAATCAATCTAAAGAAATATTTCTAAGCAAGAGCAATTAACTGCAATCATACATATAAAGTTCAAAATTAAAATTGAAATATATATAGATCAAAACCTAAATAGATCCAAAGTCATATTTGAACATTACAATTCTATTTTGGAATCAATAAACGAAATAAAATTGCAAAATAAATAGGAAATCAAGTAAATTAAATTTGCAAGTCCATATCTTGACCTTAGGTACGTGAATTCTATTGTAGCATTGCAAAACAACTGAAAGACTTGCTGTTTGCAATCACAAGCAAGTAAAAGCGCAGATCAATTGAAAAAAAAAATTCTCATAAATTGGATAACAAAAAATGCAAGCAACAAATTTTGTACCCAATCTGCTGAACAAAAGTAATTTTCAGTTTATAGATTATGAATACCACATGGATCATATCATATGAACAAATTTCTAGCATTGAGTTCACTTGTTGAGATGTGCAAAATAGCATATATCACTATAAACCAATGCAACTCGATCAAAAACCACCAAAACAGTGAGTCTCGTAGAAACATATTTTTTTTATGTAACTTGTTTCTATTTTGTCAGAAAATTATTAGGAGCAGGAGACCTTGACTTGTGTATAAATCAATTAATTTCCTTGTATAAAACTTAGAAGTACTAATTAATGAATGAATATTAGGAAATAATTATAAAACTTTTACAAATTAAAGATACAATGTATGTGCAAAATAAGACTCGTACGTAGCTAAAATAGGAAAATATTTTAGTAGTCTATATTTTCGTTGATTTCAAGCTCTTAAATATTAGAAAAATAATTAAACTACAATTTTGCCTAGTATAAAATCTATTTTTAAAAGGTAAAAAAGACGAACGATATTTGGCTAAGGGCCTTCGTGCTTTTAATATAGTATATAAATTACCGAACAAAAAGGTAGAATGCACTAAATAGCAAGGAATTAATGGATGGTACGTGAATCATTAATTATGGCAACAACTCAATAAGGTGTCAGATTGTAACCGAAGACTCCAATTAATAGTTTACTTGGTTAATATGCTAAATATAAATGGCAAGTAAATAAGTGCCATATAAAGTTAACTTCAAATACCAAAAGTTCGAGGACTTCTTACATACTTTAACAGACAAAAAAAAAAACATAATTTAGCTTATTTTAAGGCCCTAAATATTATGAAAATAATTAAATGATCATTTTGTCTAATGTAACTCTATTTTTAAAGGGTAAAGAAGACGAACGATACTTCGCTAAGGGTATTCGTTCTTTTAATATCTAGTTTTAGGATATGCGCGTTGCACGTGTACCTTACCTCAATGAATATAAAATTATAAAATTACATAAATATTATATTAAAATTTGTGTTTGAGTTATTAAATTAAATCTAAGAAAATATTAAATTATTATCGCAAAAGGTATTGTTTAGCTATATGTTTTATTATTTTTTTTTCGCTTTGGAGTGAGCTTTCTTTCTCTATTCAGGCACATAACCGTGTGTGTATATATATATATATATATATATATATATAGAATTAGGAGGTTAAGATTGTAATGAAGCTACTTATTATTAATGGATTCTAAACGGACTATGTTACTTAGCAACAAAATATGGAGTGTATGTTAAAAAAATAATTCCTAAACAATTTGTAGTCTTAGCTACCGTCTGAAGTTGGCTATTTGATAATTGATACACTTTGGACGTGTCGATGTGTTAAAGAGCGTGGATTTAGGCGCATGAAAGTGAAGAGTAATTGAAAAACAACTTCCAAAAATAATATTATTTAATCGTTAATTGTTATATAATCATATATTCAATGATACTTAATATATAAAATGAAGTACGTGTTGTCTATCATTATTAATGAAAGTGCTTATATCTATACTATATTAAAAGCACGAAGACCCTTAGCGAAATGTTGATTGAACTTTTTACCCTTCCTTAAAAGACACCACAATAGACAAAACTGTCATTTACTATTTTCCTCAAATTATTGCCTAATTATTTTTATAATATTTCACCTATAATTACGCACAAATTTATTACAAGAACCTTATTCCCTTTGATTTCTTTCCAAATATGGAGACTTGAAGAAGTCACTATATAAGCATATCTCCAAGTAAATTTGGAGAATTGAAAACCTATAGTTGTCCCATTTGTTTCATAGTTTGTTTTGATTTTGATTTAGGTTTAGCTTTTTATTTTTGCTTTATTCTTTGTAGTATATTTTCATGAATTAATATCTAATAATAATTTTGACTTTCAATTTAGAACTCCGCATAAACTCTTCGCTAAAGTTCTAGCTTATGCTCTCCTTGATTTTATTGCAATCTATAGTGTCAATCGACCAGGTATGCTTTTATGTTCATTTAAAGTGCTTAGATTTTTTGCTTAATTATGATGTGGTGTCTCTTTTATTATTATTATAATAATAATAATAATAATAATAATAATAATAATAATAATAATAATAATAATAATAATAATAATAGTGCAATTTGCTTCTTCTAGCCCTTCTACAAAGTAAATTTATTCTTTTTCCTAAAATACAATTTTTTTCTTCTTGTAGAGGATTATAATTTCTTACACAGTAATTGTCGAGTTCATTAATCCAATACTTGGCAACTTCCATGGGTTATTCGACATGCTAAAATTATCTAAAGTCGATACTTCTTTCACTATTGTAATATATGTCTGTTTGTGCATGTGTGATATTCTATATATTTTTGAGATAGCAACCACATTAAAACCGCAAAAAATTTATAGGTTGTGAAACATAAATAGCTGAACTTTAAACAGTTAAAAATTTAACATAATATGTGCTAATTTGCAACTTAGAATTGTTATATTTAATTTACAGAAAGGGTCCAGAAAAATCCGGCTTCTTTAAACACAGTCGGCCAGAAAAATCCGGCTTCTAGCGCCTTTGCTGCTGTCCTGACTCCTCCAAAGTGTCCACCATAAGCCGATGCATGACAAGCCTCCAAAATAGACGATTGTTCTATCTTGGAGACGCATCTCCGGATCATGTTATCCAGGCATATTCTAAAGAGATAGGGCTCGTCCCAATAGTACAAGAGGCTTTCGCGAAAAAATCGCTTCCTCTGGACCGATGAAAGGTCGTGAGGAACTATACCACTGGCCAGGTAATTGGCCAAGTCCGCATACCATGGCGCTTCCTGATGAGTTATGGCGAGCAGTTGCTACTCTGGAAAAGTTTCCAGAATTTCCTCAACTTCAATTGCATTTTCAGCTCCCTCAAGTCGTGATAAGTGATCAGCGACTTGATTCTCAGTGCCCTTGCAATCACGTATTTCAAGATCGAACTCTTGCAGCAGCAATACCCAACGAATCATGCGTGGCTTAGAGTCTTTCTTTTCTATAAAGTATCTGAGAGCGGCATGGTCAGTGTAGACGATTACCTTTGATCCTATCAGGTAGGATCGGAACTTGTCGAATGCGAACACCACAGCTAGAATCTCCTTTTTAGTCACCGTATAGTTCAACTGGGCTCCACTCAGCGTTCTGCTGGCATAGTAGATAGGGTGCATCAATTTGTCCTTCCGCTGGCCCAACACTGCCCCCACTGCGTAGTCACTAGCGTCACACATTAGTTCAAATGGTTGCTCCCAGTTGGGGGCAACAATGATGGGTGTTGTGACCAGCCTCTACTTCAACTCCTCAAATACTATCCTGCAATCATCAGAAAATACAAACGGGTGATCTTTCTCTAATAACTTACAGAGAGGTTTGGTGATTTTGGAGAAGTCTTTTATGAACCGCTGGTAGAAACCAGCATGTCCAAGAAAACTTCTGATTGCTTTGACCGAAGTTGTTGGAGGAAGCTTTGCTATTACATCAACCTTTGCTCGATCTACTTCTATTCCCTTGCTTGACACCCGGTGCCCCAAGACTATGCCTTCTTGTACCATAAAATGACACTTCGCCCAATTCAGCACCAGATTAGTCTCGATGCACCGTTTCAGCACACGCGTCAGATTCACTAGGCACTCATCAAATGAACTTCCCACCACTGAGAAGTCATCCATGAACACCTCCATTATATCCTCAACCATATCAGTGAATATGGCCATCATGCATCGTTGGAATATGGCGGGTGCATTGCATAGGCCAAAGGGCATCCTCCTAAAGGCATAAATGCCATAAGGGCATGTGAAGGAGGTCTTCTATCGGTCCTCAGGTGAAATGGAAATTTGATTGTACCCTGAGTACCCATCCAGAAAATAAAGTGTGACCTCCCTGCCAATCTATCCAGCATCTGATCGATGAAGGGAAGTGGGAAGTGGTCTTTCCTTGTGGCTAGATTCAACTTTCGATAATCCATGCAAATTCTCCAGCCTGTGACGGTTCTCGTTGAGATTAGTTCATTGTTGTCATTCTTCACAACCGTCATGCCACCCTTCTTAGGCACACATTGAACTGGGCTAACCCAGCTGCTGTCCGAGATTGGGAAAATAATTCCCGCATTTAACCACTTTATCATTTTCTTCTTCACCACTTCCTTCATATTTGGGTTCAGCCTCCTCTGATGTTCCCTGGAAGGTTTGTGCCCCTCTTCCAGCAGAATCTTATGCATGCAGTAAGCGGGGCTGATCCCCTTGATGTCTGCCATGGTCCACCCAATGGCAGTTTTGCACTCCTTCAATACCTGTAGAAGCTGTTGGACCTGCACATCTAACAAACCAGATGAGATAATAACAGGTAGGGTGGAGTCAGGTCCCAGAAATTCATACCTGAGGTGGCCTGGCAATGGCTTTAGTTCCAACTTCGGTGGTTCTTCAATGGATGGCTTAGCTAGAGGAGTCTCCCTCTTTTCTAAGTGTAGGGGCTCAAACCCTAGATTTCTTTCCCAGAACCCTCTACCTTCCAATGCCAACACCCATTCTGCCAAGTCCTCACCGTTCACTTCCTCCAAATTTGTTAAACATGCAGCGAGGGGATCCTTAATCGTCAACACTTCATCATCAGACTGTACGATTACATCCACGGCATCAATAAGAGAGCAATTTGCGAACTCACTTGGGCGCCTCATAGATTTCTGCACATTGAATATAATCTCTTCGTCATTGAGCCTCATCTTAAGCTCCCCGGTCTCACAATCAATAAGAGCTCTCCCCGTGGCCAAGAAAGGTCTTCCTAAGATGATAGGAATTTCTTCATCCACCTTGCAATCCAATATTACAAAATCTGCAGGGAACACGAATTTCCCCACCTGAATAAGTACATCATCCAGGATCCCAAATGGACGCTTCACAGTCCTGTCAGCCAGCTGTAGCAACATAGAGGTGGGTCTAGCTCTCCCTATGCCCAACTTCTTGTAAATGACCAGGGGCATAAGATTAATGCTAGCCCCTAAATCACAAAGTGCTTTCGCAAAAGCGAAGTTTCCAATAGTGCATGGAATAGTAAAACTCCCTGGATCGGAGAGCTTTTCAGCAACAGGTCTAGTTACAACTGCACTGCACGTCTGAGTAAGTGTCACTGTGTTCAAGTCTTGGAAGTCAAATTTTTGGGACATTAAATCTTTCATCATTTTTGCGTATCCAGGCATCTCCTTTAAAGGTTCAATCAATGGAATATTAACCTGAATTTGCTTGAGCATCTCAAAGAACTTTTTGTACTGCTCCTCCTTTTGATGCTTGGCCAACCTCTATGGAAATGGAGCAGGAGGTCTTTTCTTCCCAATCTCTTGGGACTTTTCTTTCTCAGCTACTATCTCTACTACCGGCTCTTCGACTGCTTCAGCAACTTTCTCGGTCTCCTGCTGAGTATTCTTTTCTTCCTGAGCAGTCTGGATTGTCACATCTGTCAGCCTTGTGGATTCATCCAGCTCAATGGTACCTGAATGAGTGTCTCAGCCTGTATTTTGTCACGAGCTCTCTCTTGCTCTTCGTCGAGATCCCTGCCGTTACGGAGACTCACCGCCATCAGCTATTTCGGGCCCTGATCTTTAGGATTGATTTGGGTATCTGCAGGTAGCGTCCCTTGAGGACGATTGTTCAGAGACATTGAAATTTGGCCCACTTGCACTTCAATATTTTTGATAGCTACGTCATGTGCATCTACTCTCTCATTTATCTTCGCAGTGAACCCAATAACCTACTGCATCATTGCTTCCAGTCTAGCAAACCCATCGTCCTGTCTTCCGCCATGCTGCTGCTGAGAAGGGTAGTACCTCTGCTGTTGATTGTTGTACCCCTGTGGTCTAGGATACGGTGCCATGTTGTTGGGGGGTCTCATACCTCCCATGTTTTCGGTGTTATATTGTGGCTGAGGTGGTCTATACTGCTGCTGAGTCTGCTGACCCCAGTTCTAATTTCCCTATCTCTGACCCCCATAGTTAGCAACATAATTCATATCCTTAGGGTGCTGATAATGATGATCAAGCTCTGTATTCCAAGGATTACCAATTGGCTGACTAATACAAGATGTGCACAGGCCCCCATTGGTGGTATCTACTATGTGTACCTGCTGCTTCTGCCCTGATTCCTCCACCTTTTTGGTGAGGATGCTCATTTGTGTCAGGAGAGTCGCCATATTTTCAGCCATAGTGTTTGAAGGATCAAGAGGCACTGAGTGCACCACTGGAGTGATGGGTGCATTCCTGGATGTCCATCCCGAATTCTGTGCCATTTTATCTAGTAAACTCTGACCTTCACTCCATGTCTTGCTCAGGAATGCCCCACCAGCTGAGGCATCCACAATATTCTTCAACCCATCTGACAGTCNCTCCTAGATGTCCATCCCGAATTCTGTGCCATTTTATCTAGTAAACTCGTACCTTCACTCCATGTCTTGCTCAGGAATGCCCCACCAGTTGAGGCATCCACAATATTCTTCAACCTATCTGACAGTCCCATATAAAATCGTTGTCCCAACATCTGTTCTGGAATACCATGATGTGGACACATAACCAACATTACTTTGAACCTGCCCCATGTTTCATGTAGTGTCTCCATCGGTTTCTGCTTGAAGCTCACGATCTCATCAATCTGTTGGGCAGTTTTTTTGGGTGGATGAAACTTGTTATAAAACTGCTTGACTAACTCATCCCACGTTGCTATAGAATTTATGGGGAGTGAGTTTAGCCAAACCTGTGCAGCTCCTATCACCGAGAATGGGAACAATAATAGCCTGATAGCCTCTGGAGTGACATTGGCTGCCTCTGGGTCTTGCAGATTGACAGGAAGTTCTTCAGGTGTTGCTGAGGATCTTCAAGTTGTGTCCCAGAGAAGAGTCCCTTGTTTTGCAGTAAGTGCAGCATGTTGTTTGTGATCTGGAATGATTCAGCTTGTATCGCGGTCACAACAATGGCAGTGGCCAGATTGTCAGCTGTGGGTTGTGCCCAGTCATACAGTGCACCCTCGGGCACCAGAGGTGCCGCTTCTCTAACATTCAAGTTGACTTGCTCATGCCTGCCGTTTCCGTTGGGGTCGATTGCGTCTCCCATGTCAGCTTCGAATTTGTCTATGTGTTGAGGTGGTTGAAGTCTTCTGTTGACACGGTTCAATGCCCTGAATATTTTCTCACGGTTTGAGAGTCCTTCAAGTAGTTCTCCAGTCCTGGTAGAGTTTCTAGGCATCACCTGTGCAACCAAGTCAACAACCGTCAAAAGTTTCAATCAAAAATTGGGTGTAGAGAAACTGCTTACACTAAGAATTTTTGTATTTCTATCAATGGTAATTGATAATTCCGTTAACTCCCCCGGAACGGCGCCAAAATTTGATCACGCCCAACTATGCCTTATAAAAAGGACAATGCGGTCGTTGCAAATATAATCCGGTTTACAAGTCTGGAGTCGAATCCCACAGAGAGTTAACCTATCAATCACAATCTTTAGACCCACTAAACTCTTCAGAACCAGCTTCCCAAATGTTTGAATCACAAGTTGATGGTTTCTTTAGTAACTAAGATTGCAAGTAAATTAAACAGGCTGTAAACTAAAACGCTAAGGTTGTAAACAATGATGAGATAAAGCTAAGGTAAAGATTTCCCCTATTGATGGAATCCCTTCTGTTTATGCTTCATACAAATGTACCAACACTTCTCTATCAATCATGAACGCTCGTCTTACCATAAATCTCTCCCGAGTAATCACAGTAATATACTATTGCACTCTCCTGAGATACATTAGCTAGCTTTAATTAACATAGTTCACTTAAGATTGCACCCAAGGCTTTGTTATCCCTAATCCCGCTTTTAAACCCGCAGTTATAGATTCTTCTTATACTGTAGGAGTGGTTTTATTCAACAATAACCTACATATGCACTCTCTCCCGAGTTATGCACACTAAATAGGCATAGCTAATTGAGGATCCTGTTAATTAACTACAACAAGAGTATAGCTGAATAAATAAAGATTGAAACTAGCAATTTGTATTCACATAAACAAGAAGTTCATCCCCCAATAGGTTCCATCAAAACCTTAGACAAAAGATTTAGCTACTTATAACTATGGGTAAACAAACTAAGATAAGATCCATTATAAACTAGCAAACAAAATCAAAGAAAAGAAGAAAGATGTTTTAGGTGATCTCTCACAATTGTTTTTCTTGCCAAGATACTCTAAAAATCAATACATGCCTCTCTTGGGCGAAGTCTAGTGTTTAAAATAGGGTTTTGGGCTAAAATCCCGTGTTTTGCACTTTAGTCCCTGAAATTTCCGCATCCTGCCGCGGTTCTGCCGTGATCGCGGTGGAACCGCGGCCAAACAACTCCTCTGAATCTCGATCTGTCCGCGAGCATCCGTCACCGCGGTTCTGCCGCGGTCGCGGTGGAACCGCGGCAGAGTCATTTTTCTGATTCTTCAGCCTGTTTTTGCGTGGTTTAGTTGGGACATTTTACGGTTGGCCTCTCTTTCTTCATTCTTTTTGACTCCAAAAGTGCTCCCTAGCCTTCCCTAGTCATTTATAACCTGCAAATCATGAAAAGCACTAATAAGAGCATTTTGTTATCACTTTTATTATTAAAACTATGCAAGAAGGCGGTTATTTAGGGCCTGATTATAGTTAAATTTATTTTTTAATATTTTACCTTATAAAAGAAACACTACCATTTGGGAAGAAATTTTATCTCTCATGGTAACAACACATCATTATACTAACCCATCTTTTTAGGAGATTCGCATGTGCAATTTAATTCCATTTAAAAA